TCATCACACACTGAAAAAGAAAAAAATGCCCGTATTCAGTTTTTGTATTTTTATATATATTTCATGTAAAATTGTTGCATCTGGGAAGTCATTTACAACTTGCACCATGTTGAGTCAAACTGACCGCTTTCATATCAGGTCATAACCTCGTTTGTCTTCATGTCCACATCCCTGGCTCAGCATGCCTGCTCCCTGCAAAGAGCCTCAAACAAGCCTGAATCTTTCTGCTTTGGTGAATGTGGAGCTAAAAATATTCCCCTCCGAATTTTACACCCAGTCAGGCTGTCTGCCTTTGTCTTGTCTCCTCGTCTGAGCTGCTTAGCAGATCATGAGTTGTGCAATGCGAGGTGTAGAGAAACGAACTCAGGGTTGGTCTCTTCATATTCATTTTAGCTCCAGGGCAGTTGCTTTAATTTTGTGCTATGAGGGTTTAAATGATTCTTTCTGTTTAAGGGTGAATGTCAAAAATAAAACAAAACAAAAATAAACACCAGTCTTTATTTATAGTCTTAATTCAGTGGCAATGTTTAGTTGCCTTTTGCCTGCTGATTAATACTTGCTAAATTCAAACTTCCACTATCACAAATGGCGGAAGTTTAAATTCTGCCATTTAAACTTCCACGGAAGTTTATGATTTCTTATGAAATCATAAGAGATTTCACATCTCTTATGAAATTCAGTTTCATAAGAGAAATTAAACTGGATTTTAGAAGCATCACAGTTCTTATGGTAGCCCAGAAGGGTCAACAAAATGCAAAAGCTACAACACAACAGCAAAAGGCCATAACTAAATATATACTAAAATGGAAGTTTTGTTAAAATTGAAGTTATGCTAACAAGTGTCTCACAACATCTGTTTTAGGATAAATTCTCATCTCCCTTCACAGTTCCCCCAGGGCTTTCTTCTTTATATGTTATGAAATATTAGGGGCTATTACTGATATTCTTGCATTATTTTGGTGTGGAGTGCTTGAGATAATATCTCTCAATGTTTCAAAAAGAAATATTTGTATACCAGTAAGGACAGTTTGTACTCAACATTAAATCCTGAGTTATGCAATGTAGATTAATTTTTTTAATTGTCTGACAATAAGACAATGGTCTGCTCTGGTCCCAGTGTCTTCTTCAAGCTAATCTTGCTGTCAGTGATTGCTTTGGGCAAAGAGCATCTGGATTTGTCCTTGACCCAATACAGAGATATCATGAGGTTGGAACATAAGCAGTATTATTCTGTCAGTGGTCATAATTCTGATTTATGGATGTAAAATTAGACACACCCATTTAAAGTTCAAAATTCACATTCAGGAACACATGATGCCAACAATACGTCAAAGGACAGACAGTGAGTTGCAAGTGTTCCGAGACTTTAAGCTTCCTGAAAATGTTTTTCTACTTCAGGAATAAACCTGCAGATTCAGCAGATCTGCTTCTGTCTGCTCTTTAGTGTTGGTCTCCTTTCATGTATTCTTGTACGTCTAAATTGTAGTTGGTTGCAACTTATAGCAGCAGGTCAAAGCTTTACCTTGATCAGCCTTGAAAATTTCTCCAGTTTTTGCTTTCTTTGCCAAACTATTTTTTTATATCAAAGATATTCAGAGTAAATGTAAAATGCAGTGTTCAATTATGATTTAATTTATTAAGGGGAAAATGCTAATCCAAGCAAGTATGACAAATAAGTAATCACCTCCCTTGTTGAATCAGGAATTATCTTTGAGTCACGTAAACAGGTGGCAAAAAGGTCTTAACAAAAAATGTCAATTTTACGTTGTTGTAGCTCACTTTGTTATTTTGATAAAATAAAATAAAAAACACTTTTCACCACATTTCTTTTCAAATTTTTCCATCTCTTCCTCCGTCAGCTCTATCCACCAGTGTACCTGACCTTGTACGCTACTTCTACTGGGTTGAACAGGCAGCTAATTGACTAGCTTGAATACTAATGTCACCTAGTGTTTGGAGACTTGTTTATTGTTCAAGCATAAATAAATACACTAATATGAAAAAATGTAATGTCTATGTAAGTAAGTAAAGTGAACCAGGGTGTTTTTCCCACCTCAGGTAGACTTGGTTCAATTGGGGACCAAAATTGCAACATTTGTTCTTTTTCACACTGCACTGTGTCAAACAAACAAACAAACAAACCTCCTCGCCTGTGGTGGCGCTACACCAAGAACCATTGAAGAAAAAGACATGAAAACCTCTGAGGAAGACACTGAGCGCAACTTCCCTCCTCACCAAATAGAAACAAAAATGGAGTGGCATCAGATTTTAGTGGTTGTAGGATTGTTCTTTTTATCTTTGGTAAAAGACCAAGAACCATTTCTCCCTCCAGTGCTGGACTAGCGCGGTTGTTTTGGTTGTATTTACCCAGAATCAGAATTCAATTGTGCATTCACTCCTCCCTAAATGAACCAGACTTTTTAGATAGATGAACTAGGGTTCAATTAAAGTGGATTATACAGGGCTGGTGTGAAGGCACCCTTAATACACTTGAAATAAGACAAAACAAACATACATAGAACTTTTTAGCATGCTATAGGAGATTGGTTTAAGTCAGTAATTCTTGAATATTCACATAACATACTGTTTCCATTTTCTGACTCTTTTCACTCATGGGAAAAACATCTTGTTTTTTTATATTTAATCTTGGTTTTTAAAGGATTTCTTGCACTGTAACTGTTTGAGCACTTCTTTGGTTTCTCACCTCTGTGGATGCTGGGATCCTCTGCATTTTTGATTGTATAGCTCTTTTTTATGATTAAATTAAACATAAATATTAAGAATACAATATATATTTTTAAAGAAATAGACCATCTTCAGGTGCTTCCTAAATGATTAAAGATTGAAGACAACATAAAAGCAAAAAAAAAAGAAGAAAAAAACGTGCTCCAAATACTTTTCCATATCTGTGAATGAACAAACAAGCTGTTGTAAATGATGATGTAAATAGAAGCAAAGCTGGCTGGCACACAGAGAACCACAGAAACAGGGAAGAAGTGATGGATATAAATGTTTATGGTCAGTCAGGTTTATGGTCCCATCCAGGTCCAGGTTAATATTTGGTTTTACAGATGGGAGCCGTGTCGGCCACACAGCCCCCTGTCTGCTGTCACTCTGGGTGAATCATGAGGCTTCCTCTCACTCTGCATCCTGCTCTTACTGAGAAATCAGACCACATGTCACCACGCGTTACCACAGATGAGGACTGACAGAACCATGGCCTCGCCTGGCATGAACCTCCCCACCAGCACTAGCCAGAGAGTGGTTGCTCAGCTGTTTTTCACCCAGCACCTCACCAATCCCTCTCATACTGTCACTATGTACAAAGGCCAAACGTCGCTGCTGTTGTCAGTGCCCTATCTGTAGATGTAGTTCTGTCCTGTTAGACTTTTGTTCTGGTTTAGCAGCTTATCTTCAACCGCTATCTGACAGTTTCTCATTATGGAGCAAAGAAAACCAGATAAAGTGTATAAATAGTTCTTCATATCTGAGCACGACATACTATAGATATAGGTTAACTACAACAGTTTGTATCAGTCTCTGACGTCAGAGACTGATACAAACTGTTGATCATTGTGACGTGTGGGGAAATCATTGAGATTTGTTTATAGCTAATTCACTTTTCATACAGTAGTTATGAGGGATATTTCATATGGCTTTGTTTATGGTGATATTTTCATATCTTTGTGTTGTCATAAACACATAGTGGGGTTACTGAGTTACTAGCCTTGTTCTACACTCTGCTTCATCCAGAGGGTCTGGACCCTCAGCTATTGAGAAGCGATTGCATTCTGGAGGCGTGGCCTCTGTTGAAATTTAAAATTTTAACCAATTACTAAAGTTTGGCTGTGACGTATGTAATATACCATACGTCTTATAAGAAGCTTACAGGTGAAGCTTACTTCTGGTAAAAGCGGAAACTGCCTGGCTGTAAACAACCATCCTCCACTGCGAAGTGCAGAGGCGAACGAGACGACTGTTAATGCTAATTCAGTATTTGGAAGCGTGACTTTAATGCGTCAAAGACAAATATAGAACAGATAAATAAATATAAATGAAAACTAATTCTGGCCAACAACAACAGTCTGAAATCAGCTACTGACTACCGAGTGTAAATAAAAATACTTAAAGACACAAATAAAACATACTGCTGCGGTTCAGCAGGACATTAGTTTTACAATATGCTAAAACGTGATTCAGCCTCATGTTTTCTTAAGATCTCAAACATTATGTTATCAAAACTAACAAACATTATCAAAACTAAGGATCTTGTTTTAATATACAAGGAAATCATTTTAAAAAATGCTCAACACCAATGTCACAATACATAAGTTACATAAAAACCACACATAAAGTAAAAGCTTGTTCTGCTGTTTCCTCCATCTTGGTGGTCCTGAACTTTGCTCTAAGCTTCTAGTTATTTATTTACTTTTTGGGAAGACGTCAGAAAGTTTTTTCACGGTGGCTGATCAGTTTATATATCCTGTGTTGAGACTGTGGAGAAGCTGACCAGCTTCTCCTTTGTTTTAATGGCTGTTGGCAAACAGCTATAGGAAGCATCACCACACATTGCCTCGCGCTGCACAGGTCAGGCTCAGTTAAATGATGTCATCATTTGATTAAGGAATGTTAATTTGTTCACCATTATCTAAAGATCCAAAGTCAGCCTTTTATCACCTGAAGAACATCTCCAGGATTAGAGGACTAACACCTCAGCAAGATCTAGAGAAACTCATCCATGCATTTATCTACAGTCATATTGATTACTGCAACAGCATCTTAGCAGGTCTGACTAAAAAATCAATCCTCCAGCTGCAGCTGATCCAGAATGCTGCTGCTCACGTTCCCACTAAAAACAGGAAGAAAGAGCACATAACACCAGTTTTAAAGTCCCTACACTGGCTCCCTGTAGCTCAGAGGATAGACTTTAAAATACTATTAGTTTATAAATCACTGATTGGTTTAGCACCACAATACATTAAAGATCTGCTGTTGTCAACCTTCCAGACCCCTCAGGTCGTCTGGGTTTGGTTCTGCTCTGCATGAGCACCAGAGAAGCAGCATTCAGCTTCTATGCACCACAAATCTGGAACAGACTTCCAGAAAACTGCAAAACAGCTGAAACACTGAGTTCCTTTGAATCTACACTAAAGCCCCAGCTGTCTAAAGTTGCTTTTGAAACCAAATCATGAAAAATTAATCAAGAATCTGATGTGCAAAATGTAATGTGTGTTCTCTGACTTTGTATTTTTGTGTTTTTAATCATGTAAAGCACTGTGAAATGCCTTCTTGCTGAAAGGTGCTACATAAATAAAATTTGATTTGATCAATCCACCGTTATTACAGTATTACTGCACACCCATAATATGCGTATATCTGTACATATAGATATAGACGCACATCTTAGTACTAATCACACCCCAGTGCTGTGATTATTGATAATTAATTACAATGCTTAATTTTGTAAGCTTGAAATGTAAAAAAATAAACATTTAAAACAATGTTTAAGAAAATATGTTATTATCTCAAGCAAAACATCTCACCTGTTTTCCAGATTTTCATATTCAAGAAGGCTTAAAATAAGTCATTTTGTTTCAAATTTAAAAATCTGAATTATATGTGCTTTGGTGGAAGGATCATCATTGCAATAGACTACATACCTTCTTGGTTTTATCCAAACATCCATCGCTGTGTTTTTCAAAGTAAAATTTGACACTGAGCTCACCAGCCTGACTCTTGCTCGTTTTTTCACCCCCATTTGTGATGCTGCATTCTTGACCGCAGTACAAGACCGTGTCCCGAGCTGCTTTGAACTATGTAGGTCAAAATATTGAAAGTGGTTAATCTGTAATGTATTATTAACATGTTAATTTTTTTAGATTGCATGCATTATTATCATCAAATCACTTCTGAAGGTAGTAAAAGTGAGCTTTTAATTACAAGTCAGAACTGAAACAGAGAAGACTAAGGCATTTTTATTTAGAATTGTGCAACAATGACCTGAAATGAATTCATGGTACTTTTGCTATTTTGATGAAGAAAACAGTCTAATCTGAGCTTTAAATGCTCATTTTTTTGTTATTTGACCATATTGATGAGTGACTTATAAGAATGTAGACCAAAGCTTCTGCTTCTGTAAAGCCCATTGCCCTTTCATTGTGACCTTTTTTTGCTGGCTGCCATTTGGCTACAGCTGCTTTTATCTTTCCGCCATTAAAATGTGCCAGTCCATCCTTTCCCCACCTGGCTCTGAGAGGCATGAAAGACAGAATGTGTGTTACACAGAGATGCAGGGGAGGACAATAATAGCAACAGAGGACACCTTTTTCCTCTAAGAAATTGTGTTAGACTGTTCTGACCCTGACCTTTCCATGCCCGTTTTCCCAGCAGCTCAACTTGACGACAGACAGTGTGGTTCCTTTGTGACACAATAGGCTGCCGGACCCCTCTACCGCACTCCATGTGAAAAGATTGGAGTTTGTCAAATTCGACAATTCTGCTGCCAGCTTCCATAAACTGATGGAAAGGAATAGTAGGTGACGAGAGTTGTTTTTTTGGGGGGGTGCAGGAGGTTGACAAAGGCAATAGTTTGTTGTTCCACCATGTAAAGGACTCATTCTGCTGATTGGCAGGTGGAGAGTTTGGAAGAGGGGCACTTGCTGTTCAAACTGCATTGTAGCAGGCATTATCAAGCTAAAGGGGTTTATTCGAGGTAAACCGCTGCGGCTCTTTGAAAACTGTTGGACATCATCTGTTAGAAATTCAAATAATTTTACCCTTATTCCTTGTTAGTGTAAATATGGCACAGTTGCAAAAAGAAGAGTGCTTTTTGAGGGTATGTGGTTGGTGGGGTGGTGCTTACTAGAGCTGGGTGATATGGCTGAAAACAAAAGTATTTCATGACAGTCTATATTGAAAATCATTGATTTGTTTTTTGCTTTAAATATTAAAAATACCAAACTGGTAACATGACTGTTCCTCCTTTATCCACAATTTCTTCTTAAGTTGTTGTACCCATTTTTTCCTTCCACTCCACCCTGTTCTTTCTTCACTTTGAAGCAGTGATGGGGCAAAACATGAAGCTGCTCCTACACACTCAGGCATATTGTGTCTACTCTGTGGACCATGAAGAATCTGCAGGCAGTTGAGATTTCATATTGAAGCATACAAATTGCCTACATTTCTTGTGAAATTTTTCATTTCCCACAATCCTAATGGATACTAGCAAGTTTGATGAGCTAGTTTGGTGTCTAGCTTGTTTATTCTGCACCGGGACAGAGATAAAACACTTCAATGTGAACAGTGTTTCCTGTCAAGTAGTTTCCTGTGCAAGTCAGTGCATCACTGAGAATGCGTTGGTTGTTGTAAAACTGTACCTTTGGGACGTATCTGGCAGACGTCCACATTGAGTCTGCCTCCAGTACATGCAGACCTCCGTGTATTAAAGTACACCTGAATATGTTGGGGGGCAACCTGAAACTGCTACTGCACATGTTACTCAACAGGTTGTTGCTGGCTAGCCAACGACTGAGTGGGTTAGCTGATCAGGAGAACTGATAATGCTATATCAAAAAGATAAACAACAAAGAAAATACTATTAACAATTTAAACCAGATGTTTACATACACCTGTTTTCCCCTCCCTATCTGAAATTAAATCAGACCAATCTTCTCTTGTTTCTGGTTAGCTGGAATCACCAAGATCATTTCCGTTTGCTAAAAACCTCAGTAATAAAAGAGAGAATATGTCAGAGATTTATTTATTATTCATGTCTTCAGATGCATTTCATCAGAGAGGAACAAATTCAGGAAGCATTCTTGCATTTCTCGTTTTATCCCACATCACACACTCATAAATTAAGCCCAAGACCTTGACTCTTCTGCTGACGAAATCTGGGAGTGTGTGCATGCGTGTGTGTGTCTGTGTGTGTCCCCTCACAGAATCAACTGTGTGTCAGCCATTACCCCATTTGCCCTGATTGTGGTCGGTGTGTGCCAGAGGCCCATTTGTGGCGGCCAGCGTGCCGGGGCGGCACGTGCAGCAGCATCTCTGTCAACACCATTGTCTACTTCGCAGAACGCCTGGGGTACAGGACGGCCTTGGCCACGCTTGTCCAAACAAACAACTTACATCCTGAAATATTGATGTGACGGAGGTGCATATTATGCTGCCGTTGTCATCCATGCATTGGATACAGCAGATTTATGCTCAGGATCTTGCCACTGCTACAAGAATCCTAAGAAAGCTGATAATTGTAGCTTGGACTGAAAGGCATTGCTGCAACATTTTGTTTTATTTTTATCTTGCATTTTAATAGCAGATGTGTTCAGGAAGAGAGGAGGAGATGTCACCTTGGACTGAACGTGGGATCATCAGCGTGTACGCTGCATTAGCAATTCACTTCACAGGTGTTGCTGCTGACAGATGAAGCTAACTGAGGTCAGAACGCTCAACCTGTGGTCAGGAAGAGCAGTTTATTAAAAAAACATGACCTGTCATTACCCTGCGATCATTCATTCCAGTTCCACTTTTATTTGTCATGTTAACTTAATTGTAAATTGATTATTGACTAAAACAATAAGTTACAATTTAGCAAACATTTACTGAAGTCTCAGCATCCTGTGTGAGCAGAAAGGTCTGACTTTTATCATTTTGTTTCTTGGTCTTTTAGGGATTTTGAAATGAAAGCTCCAGACTAAATGGTTATTGGCAGATATGAAGAACAATGGAGTACTGTTCATTTTTATATATTTCCTTTATATTTTTCCACTGAGCTGACATCCAGCACTGTTATTTGTTTAGCTTCTGTATTTTGTGCGACCTCAAACACGAGGGTACATCACATAAAACAAACTGTTTACAGAAAGATTGATCATTTCAACCTTTATGATTTTCAGTGTGTGTTAAGCAACCTGGCTGATTCACTGCACACAGCAAAGGCTGAGCTCTCTGCCAGCAGCTCAAAAAAGACTTCAGGAATCTAAAAAATGTATTACTCAACATTTTTTCCTCCTTCTTTTTTGTTTTATATGGAGTTTAAAGAGATTAGTGTTACCTACTTCACACCAATTTAATTTACAGACACAGTTCAGTCATATGAACTAGAATTCAGAATTTATCCATTATGTTTTAACACCTCAGTTCATAATGTTGTTACTCGCATAATGTAAAGACATCTGTGATTTTATTTCGGCTATATTTAATGCTACAATGGTCAGAGAGTGAAGTTGAGCTGATGTCTCTCTAAAACAGACTCCAGCTGTTTAGACAGTGATAATAATCCTTCAATTAATACACACATAAACACAGGAGTCACCTCTCTCTTACCTGTAAGGGAAAGTTTCTTGGCTGTTTCTTGTGTAGTGAAGCTGAAATCTGTTTTTATAATTTCACAGTTTAGATCTTACTGTAAAATAAAACACACCTTAATGTCTTCAGGGAGAGTTGTTCTGAGGTCAGTTTGAATTTGTCATGTAAAAAAAAAAAAAAATGTAGCTAAAAAATTGTCCTTCAAAAATGACAATGTCACAAATTTTCCTGTGTGACTTGTGCTGCTGCTCCGTCTCAGTGGTTTATAAGGATGCACTGCCTGAGGTAAGCTCTGCTTTGATAGTGGATTTTACTATTACTATTACTATGCATTGATTGCATCATTTATAATTTATTACAAAAAATTTTTCATCATGATAGGAATTTTGATTTATTGGTGTCTCAATAAATTTCAATTAATGACATTAAATAAAAAACAAAACTGACAGTATTATAGTATCATCAACAAATATCCATCCATTTTCTTTAAACCCTTGTCCCTTAGTGGGGTTGGGAGGGTTGCTGGTGCCCATCTCCAGCTAACGTTCCAGGCGAGAGGCAGGGTACACCCTGGACAGGTCACCAGTCTGTCGCAGGGCAACACAGAGACACAGGACAAACAACCATGCACACTCACACTCACACCTAGGGACAATTCGGAGAGGCCAGTTAACCTGTTTTTGGACTGTAGGAGGAAACTGGAGTACCCGGAGAAAACCCACGCATGCACAGGGAGAACATGCAAACTCCATGCAGAAAGACCGGGGCCGGGAACTTTCTTGCTGCAAGGCAACAGCTCTACCAACTGCGCCACTGTGCAGCCTCAACAAATATCAGTAAATCTGAAAATATAATCAAATGCAGTTACAGTGTGCAGTTTGGTGATATCACTCTCACTTCTTTAAGTGAGTGGTGTCCTGAACGTGCCTGTTTCAAATGGGAATGAGATTTTCCAGAGCAGTATTTGTGTTTGTGGCACTATGAATCCTGTGCCATGCAGTCACATAGTTACATAAAAATCAAGTACTAGTTTTTTAAATTATAATTTTTAATCATTATGACAATAGTACCACAAAATATCACAATAACATTTTAAATCCATATCCCCCCCTGCCCACCTAGCTTGACCTGAGGACAGTCCACTCGTCTGTATGCTTGATTCAGATAATAATAATTTCACTGCTCTGAAGCAATAAAAGAGTGAAATATTTTTGAAAAGAAGCAGTGATGAAGTCTGGAACCTCATCCCAGTACGCATGCACACTAGGCAACAGGAGCATGTCATAAGTGACACGACAGGAGCTGATGTCACACAAAATATATTTTCTTTCCTTATGCTTAAATTCAAATTGTAAAAAATGTTTTTAGACACACCGGCAAATGTAGTAACAAATCACTTACATTAAAGTTGCTTTTAAATGTGCTTAACTTACATGTAGCTGTAAATATTCACAGAAAATACATACCTATGAATTATATGTTATGTCTTTTTGTTAAACCAATTCTAGATCTAAGTGAAGATAAGCTGTGGTTCCCTTTTAGGGAAATAGGACACTGGGTAGTCTGTGTCACAGATAACAGGACCATACGTTGCTCACAATGTTTGCTGACAAAGGAACACCAACTGGTGTAAAACTGCAACACTTAGTAGTCTCAGTTCCCAAATTCTTGAAAAATGTGTTTAAAAAGAAGAGATTATGCAATACAAAGTTTCACATCCATTTTTAGAGTGCTCTCTTGGCATTAGTGTCTTCATTAGCAGTCGGTCTAAATACAATTCAAAGAATTTTAGGATTAGATTTTATCCATGTCGCAGAGTAAAAGTCCGAAGTCCTGTGAAGAAGTTTTAGATTCAGTGTAGACAGCTCGTTTTGCAAAATCAGTGCAGCTTCCTGGAACAAATGAGGCTTATTTGTCTTCCTTCCATGAAACATAGCTGCAAAGGTCCACACACTGATCAAACTCAACAGGTAGTGATTGGTATTAAAGGCCACCATCCATATTTGCTTTTCCTCTCTCTAATTAGACTAAGTAATCAATATCCCAGAAGCAGGGAATTCTGTGGGGTCAGGACGGGTCTCTAATTTTCCCATTTGACCTTTACCAGGCAGGAGCAGTATCTGTGAACTCATTTAAAACCTGAGCTCATTTAGAACATGATGCTATAAAAAAAGAGCCATACATCTTCTAACAGCGTGTGTTGCTGCTTGTCCCGTCCTGTTCTGTCCTCCTCTTGCTGGGGCCGCTGCCAGTGCTGCTCACTTGCCATTCTTTCCAGCTTTCTGTTGAGTGTGCTAATTGCTGTGAACGGCTGAGTGCTTTGTTATTTGGATTTGACCCTTATGAAAAGCTGCTCAATCTGCTTCGCATTTCACGGCGTTTGGCAGTTTGTGTGCCTCTTCTCATTTAATGATTTGTTGTTATTATCGCATATTAAACTCATTACAGCGAGGGGCAGCTAGCTTTTAGGCTTTAATGGAGGGGTATTGGGTTAATAATAATAGGAAAAACTTATTAGGATTAATAATTAGCAGCTTTGCGTGCTATTCTTGTCTTTCTTAATTTTTAGAAGTTTGAACTTGTTTTGTTTTGCAACAGGAATTCTGAATGACCTGTTGCAGTAACAAAATTACATTTTGTTCCATTTCCAGCTGCTGTGGTTCTCTTTCTCACCGCACTGTGTCAAAGCAACCAAACCCTTTGAAAAACCTGTTCACCTCCTGCCCTGGGGGGTGCTGCACCAAAAACCACAAAAGAAAACAACACAAAAAGAGCAATTTCTTTCTTTATAAAATGTAAACAAATGGATTGGCATCAGATTTTAGCGGTTGTTGGATTTCTATTTTGTCTTTGGTAAAAGACCACACTTTCGTTTTGGTTGTAATTACCCATAATGCCCTGCTCTTCCTCTCTTTCTATTTAATTAATTGTGTCTCTCATGTTGACACATGGAGATGATTGGATGATTTTGACTCAAAACTATAAAAATCCAACATTCAGTTTTTCATAAAAAGATTTGTTACGGCTGTACAATATTAGAATTTTAGGCAGTAATATTCTGCCTAAAAGAATTTTAGAAATACATTCCAACCACTGGAATATATTGTTGACAAATATATTCCAGTGGTTGGAATATATTTGTCAACAGTTACTACATTCCAATTCTTGAGTACAAAAATATTTTATAAACTTATGCTGGGATATCCACATTGTATTCTTACAGAATACCGAGATAAACCCCAACGTTTTCAGCACAAAACCGTCAATCTACTCAGAAGTATATGTATGTACTATGCAGCACATGCATGGAATACATGGTCGGGTTCCCATTTCTACCACACTTTCTCCTTCCACTCAACTTCCCATTGAGAAGCTTATTAACAGCCAACTTCTTTAGTAACTGTTACCGACTTGCGTTCTCTGTAGAGGGTGTCAATTTGTTTTTATTACAACTTTTGCTTTTTAAACTGAGGTACAGTATTGTAAGAAGATGCCTTGTGTATCTACTGTTGAGTTGTCCCAAATCACTCTTGTCTAGTTAATACTGAGCTCCTGCAAACGTCTGTTGAGCCGTATAATCGCGGTGATTATGTTGTCTGGAGCCAATCTTGAGGCGGCAGACCTTGAAATGTCTCTCTGAGAGCATTTGTCCCCCAAAAGCCAAAGAATCTAGGAGGTGTGGATGTTAGTCTGGCTTCTGAAACATTAAAGGAGGAGAAAAGGCTGTGATCTCTCCCTCTCATTATCAGACTCGCCTCTCTGTTCCTCCATCACACTCTAGAGAGAGAAAAAAAGATTTTTACGTTTCCTTTTTAACTAGTCACTAATGTCGTAGTTGAACTTCACCTTCCCATACATATGCAGGACCCTCCGGTCTTCTTTTTTTCTTATATTTCTCACTTGTCCACTGCATACATTACATGCCTTTTTATCATCGATTCTACATCAGTTATGTTTTGAACTGATTTAAATAACCATGACATAATTCCTCGAATCGATCAGGTTTGTCTGTGTTGCTCCTATGTTTTCCTGCTGACCTCTTTCTCCCCGGACATAAAATGACTGTGTAAGAAAGACTTCCACTGCAAGCTGAGGAAATAACAATATAAATGCCACAGAAAATAGTCTTCTTCCAATGTTGGCTCCCCTCCTCCACTATTTAACTGTCTTTGTACCAACGGTGCCGTTTCCATGGCAGCAAGAGCATGTTGAGCTTTAGGATAACAGTGAAAAAAGTGGGGAGAAGGATGGGGAGTGATCACTGGCTAAGAGGGACTAAAAATAGTGAAGCACCTAATCCAGGGCATTATTTATTCATCCGAAACTTCTCACGTCTGTGTAAACATTTCTTGTGCAGTTCCCTGTCGAGCGAGCTGCCAGTCTTCCAGCCCCTCTGTCTTAGCGGCTAACACCCCGACTACAGGAGGGCCGTTAGCCGCCCTCATGGTTGTCTTCAGCAACACGGAGACAAGGCATCGCCAGCAGTCACAGTTTTGGTCAGAAATGAGTAACTGATACCAGACAAAGTTTTTGATTCATAGGAGAATATGTGTGCTGTAGAGTTAAGCGACTCCTTAAATGCAGCAAAAAACTGAGCTAGTCTAATTTGAGCATTGCAGGGAACTGTAGCCTCAGTGGTCTGGAACTATCACTCCGTGGGTGTTAGATTGATGAGCAGCAGAAGAGAGGTCAGCCTCAGGCGGCAGGCTGAGCTGGGCTGTTTGATTCCTGGAACTGATAGCTAACATTGCTCCTGGTTTCTCACAGCTGCAGTTAATTAGCAGAACCAAAGACCAGTAAGGATTTCAAATTCAAGAAGAGACTGAGGCATGTCAAAATATCAAAGTGGTTATACATTATAAAATCATTTTTTCTTACCCTCCTTCAGCTTAGTAAATGAACATTAATTTGAAAATAAAAAATAGACTATCATCTGCAGTCAGAGTCTCTTTCAAAGCTGCAGCAATACAGACTGCTACAGGAGATCTTTCCTGCCCACAGCCATCATCATCTACTGTAACTCTTTGAAGA